CTCAACGTCATGTACCTTTGTATGTGATCCATGTTAATTTAGCATTCTTGACTGAACTCTTATTGTTTTAACACACACACACACACACACACACACACACACTCTCTCTCTCTCTTAAGTAGCACACTCCCATGGCTTACAATTTACAATTATGTTTCTTCTGACCTATCCAACTCTCAGTTTCATATACTGTAATAAAGTTGGAAGAAGCACAACATTAACAAATCCAAGCATTTATTTCTTTTTCAAAATCTGTACTAATGATTCTATTCATGGACATTAAATGATTCCTAAGATGCCAAGCTCAAGGTCATTATCAGCACTCATATTCCACAGCAATTACAGGGTGAGGATTGGTGCAACAAGGGCAAAAGCTTTGTTTAATCATTGCTGAGTTTAATCCAAATGTGGAATCCTTGAATCTGCTCTGTGATCTTAACATAGAGAAGTAACTAAAGGATTATGGTTTTTTTAAAGTATTTTCTTCTTTTCTTTCTGGGACAGGTTTTTGCTCTGAATTTGAGCAATCCTATTTAGGATCCTGTTGAGCAATGTCGCATGCACATCTCACCTAGAGAACTTTAAGGCAGAGTTTGAGGTTCCATAGTTCTTCACAGTCCAGGCCAATATTTTGTCCATTGCAGAATTATAGATCCACTTTTTCATTGTGTACTTTGTACATTACATTTCATAGGCAAAACTATGTTTAACCTTCATTCATTTAGGGTCAAAGAACAGTATTTCAGTAGTGGCAATTGGAGGGAAATACTTACACTGCCAGCTGGAGGAACAAGCATCACAGAGACATTGTGATTCCTGCAAAATGTTGTAACTGACTACATGTTCTGGGGAATAGTTGCCAGGAGAAAAAGGTTGGCCTCCAAGAAGTTTTCTATTGGAGGGAGAAGGAATATTTTAAGGAAGGAATATATTTCAATCACCAGGTCATACACTGTCTTGGTGATAGATTGTGTGATTGATTTATTGATTAATGAATTGAAAAGTGGGGAAGCAATATTTAAATACACAATTCCATGTATCTTGGCAGTTTCTAGAAGTAAATTGTTTGAATATGAAGCAGTTTGAGGTATCCTGAAGATGGAGTTCTGTTTGCAACAGGCCTGTTTGCAGGCCATACCATTCCTGGATTCCTCAAACCACTTCCAGTTTGGAGGATTTAATTCCAAACCCTCCCCTCCGTCCGACTGTCCTTGGAATGCATGAAGGAGGTACAACATGGTCCTGAGGGAAATGAAGCACTATGAAGTTGTCTAGAATGTTTGGTTCCTGAATCAATAAATTCTGCACATGGCTATTACAGAACATAAAACTTCTTTCTCTTCTATACATTGGATAGTTTTATGGTGACTTTGAGCTTTTCCAGAAGGTGGGGCTTGGAGACCACTGCTCAACATTTGGCCATTGACCTTTGGTGCCCCATAGCAATTATAGTATGAAACTGCTGGGGAAGATCACAAAAACTTTTGGACTGGAGTATTGTCATCCTTATTGTCCATCTCCAAGGAAACAATCAGTCCCCTTGAATCTTGTCTTAGCTCATTGGGCTTGAATAAGTGAGAACCAACTGAAATGAAATCTAGACCAGATAGTGATGCTGTTGGTAAATAGGAAGCTAGACTGTTTGGAGTTCCACTCCACAATTTGATTACATCCTGTGTGATAACTGAAATAAACTATATGTGGAGCTGACTTTGAAAATAGTTTTGCAAGTTGAGGCAGCTGAGCTGCTAATTGGGGCAAGGTATCCAGGACTGCATGATATCTGTACTGAAAATTCCTCATTGGCTTCTATTGCCTAATGAGCATAATTTAAAGTGTTCGCATTAGACTTTAAAGCTTAAAGGCTTAGGCTTGACTGTCTAAGGGATTGTCACTCCAGTTATGAACCTGCTTGGTTTTAAGATTTGCAGGAGAGGCCCTTTTGAAGATATTTTCACATATTTCTGCATATGGGAGAGGCAATACACCTGTGTTGCTCCCAGACTATGGAATACTCTCTCTCACACAAATTAAATTTGGCTTCTGCTCTGCTGGGATGTAGATAATCTGTAAAAATGCATCTCTTTCATCAGGCTTTTAATTTATTGATTTTAATATATCTGTCTAAACTGTGCATATATGAAAAAGTAGTGCTCTGATTATTTATTTGCTGATGGAATTTTCCCTATAATAAAAAAGTATGTTTTTAAAAATTCTTTTAATTTGATTTGATTTAATTTAATTTAATTTTTTATTTAATTTAATTTTAATTTATTACATTTGTTATAGCCACACACTCTGTTAGACTCTGGGTGGCTTGCAAAATCCAGAAACAATTAAAACACACATAAATACACATACATAGGCAGCCCAGACCAAAACAACCAGATAAATCCTACAGGTACAAATACCTCAATAAACCCATTTACTCCAGGCCTGGGAACAGAGACGTATTGGGGACTTTTCAGAACCCCAAGAGAGTGGGCAACATTCGTATCTCTGGGGGGATGCTGTTCCAGAGGGTAGGGGCAGCAATAGAGAAGCTATGCTTCTTTGGCCCACTGGATGGCAAAGTTTAGTAGAGGGGCCCTGGAGTGTATCCGCTCTGTGGGAATGTATCAAGTGAGCAGAGACAATTGGAGATTGGCAGTCCCTCAGGTAACCAGGCCCTATGCCAAGAAAGGCATTAAAGGTGATGACCAGCACCATGAATTGCACCTGGAAGCTTACTGGCAACCAGTGCAGCTCACACAGCAGCAGTGACACAGGGGCATACCATGAAGTGCCTATTACTGCTTATGCCACTGCATTTTGTACCAGCTGTACCTTCTAGATGGTATTCAAGGGCATCCTCAGGTAAAGTACATTGCAATAGTCCAGGCATGAGGTGACCAGGGCACGACTGACCATCTGAAGGGCCTCCCAGTAGAGGAAAGGGCACAACTGGCACACAAGATGAACCTGTACAAAGGCCCTCCTGGCCATGGTTACCACCTGCTTTTCAAGAATAACAAGATAGATATGATTGTTCCATTTGTACAGTATGTCTTGCAAATATGTACACATTTATAACTGGAAGGTGAACTGGAGAGACAGGAAAATTCTGGCTGATGAATAAAACCATTGAAAACCAATTATTTCAGAAGGGAAAGGATTCCAGAGTGCAGTGCCAGTCATTTGAGGAAACAAACAGGAAACAAATTTGACAATAAATAAATATATAGGATTATTGTAATTTTTTTGTTGCTGCAAGATATAATAGAATCTTGAAACCCTGAAAGAGTTTCTCTCCCCACCCCCATACCAAAGAAAATGAAGGCAGGGCAATCTAGAGTTTCTTTTTCACCCCCTCCTCTCTTTCAAGAGGAAACTGTAAGTGTTAGAAAGGTGAAAGCTCAGAATGAGATGAAGTTAGTGAATGACGGCAATAATATTAGTAGTAATAATAACAGCAATAATAATAATGGCTCTTTTTAGCTATGCTCAAAAGCAGAATAAAAGAATCAGTAGACCAGCTGGTCAATGAAGATAGCAAAATGCTACTGGCTTACAAAGAAAAGGTGTTGCCATTCAGCTCCTACTTTGGTTCAGTCTTCTCAAACCCAACACTATATGGTCAGGAAACTTTTACGAGCAGGATTGAAGCTTGAGATTGTCAGAAACATGGTCAGAGAACACCTCTTTTGTTTTAATGACCAAATAATTTAAATCTGCATTCCTAAAATGTATATATTTTTTAATTTAAAAGTTGTGGAAATTTGATTGAATGATTAAATACCTGCAAACTAAAATGGACTGGATATAGAAATCAAGTATACAAATAGAGAATATCAGGTTGGGAAAGTTGCATTAGAGCACAATGAGATCCTCTCCCTTAATCCATCCTCATATTGTTTGCAGCATCCTAAATGAAATGAGTGATGATCCATAGCAGAGTAATGAAAAAAAAATCTGAGACAAGGAATGTTTCTTGTGGCTTACAAAGCAATAGTATTATAAGGCAGATGTTTAAAATAACTGACAAGTGCTTAATGAGGAACACCCAAAAAGCTTAGATAGGGAAAAAGGAGAGAGGATGAAGGAAAGCTGTTGAGAGGGTAGGGTAGGGTAGGGTAGAGTTATGTTATATTCAACAAATAGGTGGAGTAGAGAAGAAGCAAACGGCATTATTGGGTAAGCAAAACAACTTCAGCTGGAGGCTCATTCTCGCACTCTCTCCAACAAATAGATTGGGGGGATTGTATGACATGAAGAGCAATTTCCTTCTAGCAGCTAAGGAGGGAAGGGCAAACTCTGGTCCCAATCCACCCTACTTTTTCCTCCCTCCAGGATTTTAGAACAGGATGAGATCTCTGAAATGAAACTGAGCACGTTCCACAGGTTTCTTTTAGGACAAGCCCTTTTCAAATTTAGCAGAAGAACTGAGTTAATGACCTATTACTTTACCTAGATAGTCAAAGCTTGAATTAAGAAAAAAAAAAAAAAGGCAGTTCCATTCACTTTCTACATAATAAATCTGTTGTTTCCTGCTGTTGATTTGCCAGTCTGGGCTTTACTTTTTCATTTCACTCTCACTTCCCAGTGAAACATCACTGGGCTTGACAGATCTGTAGCTCAATAGTCTGGAAAGCTGAGTTGCTGAGCACTGAAATTGGTACTACCAGCTGAAGTGATGGATAAAGGCAACATCTTTCATAGACTCTTCTGGCTAGAACTTTTTTTAAGCCTATTGGTGAGTAGAAAAGAATTTGGACCAGATGATGTAACAATAGCATTACCAATTACCCACCACATTGTAGAATAGTTTGTACGTGTAAAATGATGGAGAATGAAGTTTATATATATGGCATTGTCTTTGTGTAGGAGGCATCCTACATAGCAGGCATCCTACATGCAGCCTACCACAATAATTTTGTGGCATCCAAAGTTCTGTAATGTTTGTGGGGACAGGATATTGGACTATTTTGTGTTTAGGGGATTTGGGAGATTTTAAAGGACAAAACAAGAGCCTTAAGCCTTGTGGATGCTTACATCTCTCAGTTCACTTGTTAAAGCTGCAATTTCCCCAGATGTGCCTGATCCTGCCTACTTTGAGAGCGCAGTCTTAATCTACCATACAAAGCTTATGTGATCTTCAAGGTGACAGAAATTGCACACTTCTGGATTCAGATAATGATTGTGTAGATCATTTTTTCTAACATAGAAACAGTATACAGTCCCAACTCTTTGGGACAGTTCTAGCAAGTCATGGTTTTCTAGAAACAGATATCCATTGCAATTAAAAAAATAATAATTCAACAATTAATTCAACAAACTTTGGAAAAAGTTGGTCCACTTATTTTTGAACTGCACTATGAATGTTATGTATTTTATTTTTTCATTCCATGTAACAATGTAAGTGAATCAGTGAAATAGAATAGCAGGAAATGTGTGTTGTGTAATGATTAAGCAAATGAACTAATATTTGATTTTTGGGGGAGGGGTTAAGTAAAAACAGTTTCTGTTTTTTATTCATCTCTCTTGCATTTGTTTGGTTCTCTATACAAATGTATTATCAGTACAGCAACTGGTTGCTGATATTCCATCCTGGCTAGTTGTTAGAACGTGCACATCTTTTAAAAACTACATTAGGACTGTAGAGGAATTTTATTTTGTAGTTTTATAGCATATTGATTTTACACTGTTTTACAGTATTGAAATAGCTATACAGTATTTATGCAAGATGTAAAATGCTAGAGAAATGCAAATTCATTAACAGGAAAAAATTTTTAAAAGTCATATGATAAAGTCACTATACTTCATATTTCCATACTTACCAGGAAAATTCCAGGAAATTCCAGGAAATCTTTCCAGTTAATTAGGTCAGTTAAAAGAGAGATTCTCCATAAAATTGTAGCACTTCAGAATGAAAGGGGAAGCATTGCTTGTCTGAATGCATCCCTACATCTGAAAGAGAAGAACAGATTTATAGTTTCAGCTGAGGCCTAGAAGGTAGGGCAAGTCCTTGTATCTCAACTATGCTAAAAGGAAAAATAATTGTGATGCTGTTACCTGTTCCAACAATCAAATATTAGCAACTGTTCGAGGTTTACTTTATACCTTTTTAATTCAAAACTAATATGAACTGGTCTCAATGGTTTCTGTCATCAAATGTGGCTAACTGAGATTTCCAACATCAACTTAGAGTAAAAGTAAAACAGAATTGGACTTTTGTTGTCTTATTGTTAAAATGTAAGTATAGGATTTGAGTAATATATTTTCATAGTAGGAAATTTTGGATAGTATGTATTACAATCTACTTTTAATAGCTACAGTGCTTCTTAGAACTTGATGACATGGTTAATGACCTTCAAAATAATCTGCATTGACTTGAGAAACAGTAGAGAGGCAGAACCATTTCCACAGACCAAGTTCTAATGCCTCTTGGCCAAGACAGAAGGACAAAAGGGGTAGGGAGTTTAGTATGTGAAGCTCCAGGCTCATATAATTGAAGGGGCAAAATATTGATCCTCTCATGAGGGCTTCTGTTTTGTAGGAAATGATCGACAACACAGCCTGCAAACACCTCCTTCTGATTTTTTTTATTAACAGAAATAGGCAAATTTCTTAGTTTTAGGCATTAAAGCAATTTATGCAGTATACTGTTAAGGGAGATAACCAACTTGGTTTCTTCCTCCACATCCTCCTCCTCTTCCTCCTGAGTAGGATTGTGGCAGTGATTTATTGCTAATTGTGCTAATATATCTAACTTAACTATTTCTCTTTTTTTTAAAAAAAAATAATTTTATTGAAGAAATTTTTAACAAGATAAAAACAATACAGATATTAGAAAAGAAACACAGAAAATAAGAAAGAATAGTTAATAAGTAAGAAAAAATAGAAAAAGGAAAAGAATTAGAAAAGAAATTAAAAGATTATAAAGAAGTGGTTTTGATCTTTTTGACATTAGTTATAAATGCATTTATATTTTACCCTCTCTCTCTAAGGTTACATCATAATTTCCTTCTTTCCATAAGCTTTCCTTTCTAATCTCATTAGTTATAAATGCATTTATAACTAATGTGATTAGAAAGGAAAGCTTATGGAAAGAAGGAAATTATGCTGTAACCTTAGAGAGAGAGGGTAAAATATAAATGCATTTATAACTAATGTGATTAGAAAGGAAAGCTTATGGAAAGAAGGAAATTATGCTGTAACCTTAGAGAGAGAGGGTAAAATATAAATGCATTTATATTTTACCCTCTCTCTCTAAGGTTACATCATAATTTCCTTCTTTCCATAAGCTTTCCTTTCTAATCTTC